TTCCTAACACGATTGATGTAATCAAAATGCAATTTTAATGTTTGGGTATATAGCGTCGGTAGACCAGTTTCTAAATGCACCATATAATTTGGGGTATTTTTCGGCAAACGAAACGTTCTCTTTATATAAAATGTCTGCAATTTTTCTACTGCGTCATATTTATCCACACCCCAGATTTGCGCTGCATAATTTAGAACTGACTTAACTGTGGCTTCAAAAACTTTGTATTTTACGGGCAGTGACACTTTCGGATTTCCTAAGACATTTATCCAGGTACAATTAATAGCCAATTTAGCTTCCTTTAACTTCTCGTTCAAGTGGTTATCGAATTTTGCGTTATATTTCATATTTATTCCTAAATATTTATAATTATTAACCACTTCTAATTGATCATCGTTAAGGTACCATTTTTCATCATTTCTCAATCTTCTAGCATGTTTCCTAAATACCATCACTTTTGATTTGTCTGTATTTATAGATAGTCCCCATAAGTTGCAATATCTATTTAATTCATCTATCATATTTTGTAACATTATTGGAGAATCTGCAAACAACACAATATCATCAGCATATAATAGTACTTTTAGGCACATATTGGCAATCGTAACACCACCAGAAAGAAATTTATTTAAGTCATCAACGAACAGTGCAAACAATATAGGGCTTAAGACACAACCTTGTCTCACTCCGGTACACGTTTGGAACCATCTCGATGTACTTCTTCCGTCCCATACTGTTGACTTATATAAGGGAGTTCTCTGCCCATGAGCTTGTCTACCAAAAGAGATGATTTAGCTAAGTTCATAGCTTCTGCATTTGACAAGTTCGTAGGCAGGGAATGGTCAAATACAGAAGCCATCTCTAACCAGTCCAATTTCATATAAACCAAGATGTCAGATAAGTATCTTTGTTGATCAGCATAAATTGGTTTTTAGAATGAAAAATAATTGAAGAGTCGCCATAGGTATTTTAATATTGTTTACGGCTAGGGTAAAATAAGTACCCCGTCTGCAGAGTTCAACGTATCTTTAAAACTTAACTTGACTCTGATGATGTGACACAAAAATTGTGATATACCTAAATGTTGTCGTTAAATACTTTCTAATAGAGTGGTAATTGATATGATAATAAACTTAAGTGGATAATTATTGCTTTTGCAATTTAAAAGCAGAGTATATTGAGATTAAAGAAACCGCTAAAATTTTATATAAAGTCAATATTTCAAGTCTGATCAATGCAAAAGTATTGACGAAGTTTTAGAAGAATAAGGTAAAATCTTTTCTCAATTTAATTTATTTATACGAAGTCGTCTGACAGTTCAATTAGAGTTATTTTAGGAAGAAATATATTTAGTAAAATTTTCTTTTTATAATCAAATTATTCAATTTCGGCTTTGCTTTTATAGAAACATCGGAAAGATTTATGTTCACTTTCACAATAAATATATAAAATATTATTGTCTTGATTGCATACTATTAACATTCAAATGAATTTATTGCAAATTTCAAATAAATTCAAATTCATTGTCTATTCAATAGGAAATGTTAAGACAAAAAGGTAATTTCCGGATTTAGCCACAAATAATTTTATATCATCTTTAACAATTTTTTTATTTGTAATGAAATTTCATGATTTTAAGAGGAACGATATATGTGTAATATATATATATGCGTTGGTCCCAATGTTAAAATAATGATTGGAAATTGCCATAATGGAGTATTATAACTTTTTTAGTTAATACCAAAAGATATTAATTCTGTCGCTTTTCAATCTTAAGAGTAAAACACTCTTCTAAGTTAATTAGTGAAAACAATTACTTCATCAACAAAATACTTGATTAACCGGACAACAATAATCATTAAACAAAAATGATAAATTTTTAAATTTTTTTATGAATAACTTAGACAAAAACTCAAATATGAGTAAAAATAAGTTGTTATTTAGAATTTTTTTTTAAATGTTTCTGGGTAATAAATAAATCAATGTATTTAAATTGCAAGATGATAATCTCTGAAAGTTTTACGACGCAAACGATGTAAATTTTGACGCTGCCAAAGACAAGAGATCTTTGCTATCAATACTAACAGAAAAATTGAACTCCTATTATTTATGGAATAATTCTAAAAACTTGCTTGCATGATATAGTAATATTACGTATCAATATTTTTATATTTTAGTACGTGATAGAATTCAAAAATATTTCACGTATGGAATATAAGAAGATATACAGGGTTATCAATTTTGTGGTTTCAAAATTGAGCGTCAGTTATTAAGATAATAATTAAGATTTGAATCAAACTTTTATTTCAGCATATTTCTTCAATTTAGCCATTAAAATTATTATACAAAATCATTTTAATATCCTCCACATGACATCTTATAGTACTGAATACTCTTGAGATCTTCTTGGATAATAAGTCGAATCATAGCCGTCAATAGCTCGGTTATAACTTGTTCGATAAGATGTTTTACATTGTCCACAGTTTGAGAATTGTCCTGGCAAACATTATATATTGCTATAACCCCAAAAAAAGAAACGTCCACTGTGACAATCCACTGATTTTGGTGGGAAACTTAGACCACCAAGATGTGCAATCACAATTACAAGAAATTATTCACACAAAACAAATGAAAATAATACAATTATTACTTAAGTACTATAAGTCATCGGACTTATGCTTGTGGCACAATTATTTTAATATCAAATATCTTCCGCATTCATACCAGCAATTTTATTCCAAACAAAAATTCATGAACATGTGATTGTACCGATCAAAGTTGACGATACAAGTCGTACATTTTCATTTTCGAAAAAGTACTTGCCTCTTACTCTTGAATTTTTATGGATACAATGGGATTTTGACAGTTACTTAAAGAGTTCTACTGCCCCAAAAAGGGACAATTCACTATATGAAACAGTTCACCGAAAAAAAAAACAAATTTCAGAATGTGTCTAACACAGAATCATAATATTCTAAGTAATGACAGCAGAAAGGATGAAACGTTATTAGATCTGCCGTGACATTGAAGAACTGAGAAAGTTGCCAAGTTTGATTTGGCATAGAAGTTCCTCAAAATTTCTTTAAATATTTTATGTGCATTCTCTTAACAGATTAGCATTACTATAGAAAGTTTCAACTTTAGTTGTCAAATGCATTTTTAATGCATTACAATACAATGAATATCGTATTGATGAGAATTGTATTGGATCGAATAAATCAAGAATAAATCCAACTGTTCCTAACAACTTCCATCTGTTTTCGATATTTTTTTAAATTGGAATTACATCACTCTTTAGTAAAGAAGACGTTGATAACTAAAATCGCTTTGGTCTAGCATCAACAACAACCGATAAACTAACAACAGGTTTAGGTAAGCAAATATTTGGTCCTCAAAAGTCTTCTATTGACTATTAGAGGCTATTAGTTGCTTCTAACATGGAATATGGGTTAATCCATCTCATTTTGAAAGTTGTTTTATGACTAGTTAGTTAGTAAGTTAGTTGTGGTGAAGGTAGGATGAGTCCTTCTCAATTAGCTGAAAAAGCCGTTTTTAATTCACAAAAACCTCATAATAGTGGGTGGTAGAGAGAACGTCAAACTAGAACAAGCCAGAGGCATTTATAAAGGCATAAATCTGGCTAATGCTAATGCTAGAGGTATCGCCGAGTGAAACGAAGAAGGAGGCCCCTAGAAACTTAAACCTAGTTCTGGCCAGACTTGGACAAAGATACATCAAGTGTTCAGGTGTCCTTTCTTCGAGAGCTGGAGACATGACTGCAAGAGGTACCAGAGTATAGGCCTAGTCTAGCTTCATGCCACCCTATGGACCAGTGTTCTATAAAGACAGATATTAACTTAGATAACTGTGATTTGTTTTTGTGTATTAAGTTAGAGGTTCTATGTTTGGAATAGATTGGCCAAGTAGCACTTGACCTGGCTGCTGAGGCGGCAAAAAATGTTCATAGATCAACCTCTGACCGTAGCTGATGATCGTGTTTTGGTGTATCAAAAATAGTTTTTGCTGGTCTATTATTATAATTATCGTATTTTTTTTGCTGGGTTGGAACATTAGCTGTGCGTGACATTGCGGCCATTGATGAACTATTATATCCTATTAAACTATTAACAAAGACAATATTTTGAATTAAATAAAAGTAACTGTTACCCACGTTTCGAAGTTTATTTGATTTCTTGTTCAGGACGGAGTATTATGACAACTCAATAATAATGTAATAATACTAGGCGCTGAGAAAGAAGTCAAACACTCTGCAAAACGTCGGTCATATTTATTTAGATATCTACATTATAATAAAAACAGAAATAAAAACTAATTTATTAACCTTTATTTTCTATTCACATCAACGTTTTTTTCACTAATTACAAATAATTAAAAAAAGTGAACTCACAACTACTCTAAATGAAGTATGTATATATATTATTTTCAAATTAATTTGTGTTCACACATATCTTTATCCTTCGAAAGGTCAATATAATGATTATATATATTTTTTAGTTTTTTTCTTTTCTGCAATGTTAACAAAATTAATGACTTGTACTTCTCAAACTCTAGCAAAAATTAAGTAAAAAAGCAAGGCTTCCTAAAACAAATGCATTTGTTATATCAGTTCCATGAATGTCATATACTTGTACTTATAGTTTTTAAAGAGATAACTACTGGATATGGCTAATTTAACTCATTTAAAGCGGTAAAAAATTAAAAAAAAATTATTTTGGAAATTCCGGTTAGTCACAGTAAGTCACCAAATAGAGTATTTGACTTTTTAAGACGTATTACTGGCTTTTGTTTAATCTTCCAAACCAAATCGTTTATGCAAATCGATGTTGCAATTTATATTTTTTTTAGTTAAAACTAAATTAGCCCACGTTTTTTAGGCTCTCCGATGGACTCAAAGCACAACTGCTTGCGTATTTATTACGGCAGCGGTTGTTGATTGCAGTGAGCAAAAACTCAATCGTCTTTGGAGATTGAAAAAAGCTCGAATCGTTGCAAAGCCAACAACCTTGGCTAAAATTCAAAACTTGGCTTTTGTCAAACGCAAACTAAACCTCAGCCGGGCAAGTCGAGCCAAGTCAAGTCTTTCATGAAATCGGAAAAAAGAAAGCAAAGTGTGAGAAATGTAAGTTACGTGAACACAAAAGTCAACAACAACAACAATTTTAACAATAAAAATAAGCCAACAACCGGCCAACAATCTGGCAACATTCAAGCAACAACAACAACAACAACAACAACAACAACAACAACACAACAACAATAATAAAAATTTTATATGAAAAATGTGCACAAAACAGAAAATTGGTACAAAATTGCCACAAAATTGTTAACAATGAAAATTATTTTTTTTTTTTACAACAAAGAAAATGTTTGAAAATTATAAAAAAATAAAAATAAAGTAATTATTAAACAAAATAAATTAAAAAAAAATTATGAAGCATTAAAAAAATTGTACAACTTAACACTTTTTGAACTTGTGCGGGTAAACAAAGCGTGGCAATTGTGAACGATTTTCATTTTTTTCTCCATACTTTCTGTGTTATTTGCGGAAAAAGAAAGTTTTTCTTCAAAGGAGAGCAGCTGTGTTATAGGCGCGATATTTTCATATTTTCATAAAAAGAAAAAATGTTGAAATATTTCCAAACTCAAATTAAATTACGTAAAACCGAGATGCGGTAAGAGCAATGATTTTACAATTTATGTGCTCAACGCCGTTTCCTTCAACACTCCAACAATCATTAGCGGTTAAACTATAATTTTTGATAAACAAACTTGAACTTGATGATGATATTGAATAACGAGTATTGAAAGTATTATTGACCGGCCTCAAGTTGCGCCCACAGTCAACGACAGTCAACAGCTTACGTTGGGTGCGCTCTAAGCTCTAAGCAATACGAAACCGTCTCAGTTTTATGCGTTGCGGTATTTTGTGATTCATTTGCGGTGGCTAAACAAAATCACGTCCTCACATAACATAAAATTTAAGACTCAACTTATTACAAAAGTAACCAGTTGAGAACTGAACTCGTAGCACATCAACCAACCATTGCAAGCGCAATAACGAGTGCGACATTTAAAATTCACGACACGTACTTTATAGTACATTTCGTTGTTTCCGTCTCCGGTATGGCTTAACCAACTTAAAACTGTCTCCCTGCACTGAACACATCCTTCTAAGTATTTGCTTTTAAGTGTTGTTGGCTCGTGTATGTGTGTATGTCTTGTTGTGATATTCTTGCGTGTTTTAAATACTTCATCACACAATCGCACTAATCGTAAAAAAGTATATCCCATGTTTCAAGTACTACCTTAGTTCGTGTTAAGCTACATTCCTAGTGCTCAATGCAGTATAAAATTCCTATACATCCTGCAGGTTACGACTTCTCTCCAGTCGGTTTTGTTACTTTTCCACCTGCTGCCAATGTTCCACTCATGTTGCTGATGTTGCTGATGTTGCTGATGTACGGATGTTGCTGATGCTAATATAGTTCCATTTGCTGTTGCTGGTTAATGTTTTTCATTTCTCGTGCAATTGCTGTCATTTGCCAAATTAGCTGCAATGCGTGTGCAACAGTGACTATAACTGCAACTGCAACTGCAACAATAATAGTAGCAGCAGCAGCAGCAACAGTAACAGCAGTTGTAGCACTTAAAATGGTATAACTTCAATGTTAGTCGTACTGTAGGATACTTCCATAGTTCTATGGTTGGGTTTTCATTTTGGAGTAGTGAACTCGGTTATGTTTCGTTTGTAATACTCGTAAAATGTCAAAAATTACCTTAAGGACTGAATGTGCGTGCCTTAAAGTCCTCAAGTTCGCTTCTATATTTCTGTTGTTTCATATAATTGCAGCAATTCGAAGGACATTTTATTGAGAACAATTTTACTTAAAATTTTACTTGGGTATTTGTTCCAATGAAAGTAGTGCAATTCATATATTAATGCTTAAATTATAATAATAATATAAAATAATCGTAAAATGTGCAGATGTAATATTAAAGTTTTCGCAATGGTGATTATTCTTACTGGGATAAGAATTTCAATGATATTAAAAATTCAAAGCAAAAAAAACTATATAACCTTTTTAACAGAAATGCACATATATAAATAAGAAATATGAATTAGTCAAATACAAAATATACAAAATACAAAATATGAATATAAAAAATTAATATACGAAATGGACAATATATAAATCCGATTTATTTTTAAATATTTTTTAATTTGTTTAAACATATTCTGCATAAAGAGTATTCAGAATTATTAAAAGAACTCAAAAACAATCATCAGTTAGTCTAAATATTTATTATCGTCTTCAAAATAAGCTCAATCGACTTCAATGGTTGTCCCAATTCTTCATATATATTTCGTAGACTGATTAACGTACACGCTGTAACTTCATAGTGAATAGTTTTATAATATAATTTATACATTTTATAAAACAAATTCTAAAACAACAACCATATTATAAATTCTTCCCTTCAAAGTAAGCCAGATCAACTACAGCGGTTCTCCCAATCTTCCATGCATTTTTTTTACGGTGATACATTTATAGACTTTAACTCTTCAGAGTATATTTTTGTGGTTGAATCAGATTGAGACACCTGTGGTTGAATCAGATCGAAACACCTTCCCCAAAGTAGTAGTTTTAGCTTCGACGACAAAAAAAAGTTGAAGGGTCCATCACACGGTCAAGTTGGTATGGTAATTGCCTGTGACGTAATCAGGATTGTGTTAAGGAATGAGATATATTAATCAAATATTATTTTAACAGTATTTTTATAGTTCTATAAATAAATTATATCCAGATTCATCAGCAGTATAGTTTGTATACTATACGCATATTATATACACATTCTTTGAATGTGAAACTTTGTTATATGTTGACTGCGTTATATTCCTATGTCGATTGAAATATTTGGACTATTAAGCAAGTAGTTTATACAAAATACACAAGGAGTATTTCAAAGCAAATATAAGTTCTTTAAAAAATTATTTTAAACTGAGCTATAGAATATAAGTATTTGGTGATTGTGTACATGCATTGTTAAGATTCGTTTTTATTGAATTTCTGTAAACCACTCTTAGTATTCACCTGGTTTAACACTTTCATCTTTTCGAAATTATGGATTTGGTAATGAAAGTAGTCCTATCAAAGGACTATCATTAAAACATAATAACAATAGTTGGTAAAAATATTAATTTTTTGAAGTTTCTTTATTTTGGACTATTACTTATTGTTATTGGGGTCTGGTATTATTGACTTTTTCATGTTATTGGCAAATGAGTTTGGTACTTATGCATCTTATCGAAAATGCCCATTGTTTTGTTTTAGACTCATTTATTCTTCTTGTCGCTGTTGTTGTAGATTTTTAAATTCGAATGGTAATAATCCTTTCATACCTTCCAAGTGTCAGATATCGGTTCAAAGAATATTGTTTTAAAATATGTTTGCTGTTTTTTTACATTTACTCTTTTACGATAATAGGATTTTGAGGTTTAAGGAGGTCTTCATGTTCTTACGGAGCAAGTGTTTTGGGTCTAAAAAGTGCATTGCGAGTAATGAGTTATTCGTATATAGAGTTTGTGTCAGATTTACTGCAATTCTACATTATTGTTGTTGATCAATACAGCCAATACAGTATTGGTTGATTAACAAATACAGCCTGGTTGTTAGTAAAAATTTCTTATGATCATTCTTATTTTGTTTAGGTTAGGTCTCACTTTCACTTTTAGAAAAATTTTGTTAGCTTATCTTCATTTAGCTTATCTTCAAAGAGTGCAATATATAGTAGTCATTGGTATGTGTAACATCAGAGCACTGTTAGCTATCGCATTGTTGATATAAAAAATTACTCGGAAAGTGATTTAGTTTATCTATTATTGAAAGATGAAAAACGATTTTCTAATAATGAATTGAAAAGTATAGTAAAGGCTCTATGATGCATCAGAAAAGAAGACATACACAAAGATTTGAGAGTCAAGAGTATCAAAGACAGACAGTTAAAATTGTTCGATTCTGTGAAAGCGCACACTAGTTCAGAATTGCACTTTCTCAAATGAAATGCTAGATATATTCCGTCGGGAAGATATGGTGGGTTTCAAAGTGCACTCTTAAAAAATCATTTTAATGACTTATTATGAGAATTTAACAGATCTCTTATTACAGTAAATCATCTAAATGGTCACGGGCAGTATTGAGTAAATGTGCTTTAGATCAAACTTGTGTTTGATCAAGCAGAGAAGAAAAAGACCATAACGTTTACAATTATATGCTGTCCATTCAGTTCATCACCTTTTTGTCATATTTCTGACAGAAGAATATGTTCACGCTGAAAAATTATTGTCCTTTATTGACAATAAACTTATTCAGATGATTTTTGACTTCCTCATTTGAAGCACAGATTTTACTTCAGAAAACTGTTGTAGATACCAGAATTTATAATCAAAAGGTGTTATATCTGGAGAATAAAGTATTTGGAGCTGTATATTTCATATACTATATATTTAAAATAGATAAAATGGACATCATAGCGAAATTTCTACATTTATAACTATGATTATTATTGTAATACTAATACTAATAAGTACTAATAGCAATAAAAATTGATTTTAACGCGAAATTCTTTAGTTGGCAATTCTCTAGTTAGCAGGGTGTAACTGAATGTCTTTGTCAGATATTTTAACCTATCCTACTAAAAACACTATTGCTAAACACTATTGCTTTAAAGATAATGCAAAAAAAGCAAAAGTTAGCTTACAAACCACTTTTAGTATTATAAGTTATGCACTAATTAATCGAATAGGATTTGTGTAGAGATTTGAATTTGGGAATGTAGGATTTTGATGAACATACGAATCTTAGAATAGAGTGTTAGAGATTTGAATTTGGGAAGTGTAGAGATTTGAATTTGGGAAAGTATATTTTTGATGAACATACGAATATTAGAATAGATTGTGTAGAGATTTGAATTTAGGAAAGTAAGATTTTGATGAACATACGAATATTAGAATAGATTGTGTAGAGATTTGAATTTAGGAAAGTAAGATTTTGATGAACATACGAATATTAGAATATCACGAATTTGAAAGTAATTGTATTAACAAATCAAATATTTTAATTACTCTTAACATTTATTCTAAATGTAAATAATGTCAAAAAGTCTTGTAAGGAAATTTACAATAAGAATCTTAACATGTTTGATTAATGTTATATTTTTTAAAAAGAGTTTTTGATTAGTAGTGATAATTAAATTTCAATTAATTTTTTTTTAATATTTTGGCTGACCATTCAGCTGCTTCGAGAAATTCTAAATATTCACTAACAGTGGTCTTTAAGAATATTCGCAGATTTTATAAGTGCATATATAACTGTTCGACTACATGCGGCAGGGTTTGAAACTTTGAACCTAACAAATAGAAAACAATGACTTGACGGTCATTGTCGTCAATGACCGAAGCTGCACATAATTTTCGTTCTTTTTGTTACTTTTTTCTGATTTTTTATAAAGAAACACTTAAATCAGTTGTCCTTAAACATAATTGGTTTTAAAAATTAAATATATCATATTACTTCTTTATAATTTCTGACTACAGCATAAATTTTTATTAATACAAAAAAGAATAAAAACCTAGTACTGGACTAATTCGTTTCTCAAATCGCATACCACGTGAAATGTCAACATAATTTGAATAATTTAAAAAATAATTCCGCACTCAACATAAACCGACTTTGCATATCCTTGCCATTTGTCTTCCATTTATACGCGGTTGCATCCCGACGAGGATATGCCTGCGTCGATTTATAAAATTTGCATGTTGTGACACTGCATAATCAGAAAAATTAAATTCGCAATAAAAGAAGACAAATAATAACCGAAAGGAATGCAAATAATATAAAATGCAACTGACAAACTTGCGATATTTGCTAAGCAAGTAGCGATCACGTGAGAATTGCTCCACTCGCACAATATAAAAAATCTTAATATTTATCTGCAAACATCTCGAACCCAGAGGATTTGAATAAGAATAATAAGAAAAATGTAATCTTTCTTTATTTCAGCATTTCAGGAAGAAAGCGGAGTTGAGTTCGAACGAAGGATAAGAAAATAACAGATTCGAGTTAATATTGCGACAAAGTGAGTATTTGCCAGGATAAAAGCGAGGAGCAGCGGAAACTTATGTGCACAACACATTAGGAACGCAACGTGGCTGACTTTTCCGCTTATGAATTGCTGACGCGCTTAAATGTGACATTTTGAGAATTGCCAACTTGAAATTGTGAATTGCTTTGGCGCGTGTTAGTAAAGCGACGCAGGAGCAGCAACAATCAGGACAAACACGCGTCCAACTAGACTAGACTCGACTACAAATGTCGGATTGCCTGGGATAATTTAAAGTCAAGTGTTGTTGCATTTTAACAATTCCCTCTTTACCACCTCCTGATTCTTGTTTACCGAATGCACCAATACTCTACACTCAAGCAAAAATGTTAGTCAGAATAACGCAACAATTTGCCATTCTAATTATAACAATTTCGGTGTACGTGGCGGGCATACGAAATGGAGGCACCACAAATGAAATGTCACCGAACTCCTATTACGAAAGGTGAGTACAGCCAGAAAATTCATTAGGGAATAACAATTTGTTTAAGTTTAATAAGAAAACTTATGTTTAAGAAATGGTAATGGAAGAAATAAAATTGGTATAGGATTGGAAGTAGTACTTTTTATAAAAGACGTACTACAAATAACTAAAATAATACAAAAATATTGAAAAATGTATTAATCATCAAGGGTATTAAGTACTTTAAATATATTTATACTTCATAAATACTATAAATGCTACTATAATATATACTATAACTATTTTTAAAGTATTTTAAAATGATTAAAAATATTAAAAAGTTTTGAAAATTTGAAAATTGTGCTGAAATAAGATTGATATAAACTCTCACCAATAAAAAATGTATTAAATTTTATTGTATACAACATTTAAACATAATTTTTTGCGGAATGAAGTCCAAGTTTTTAATTCAATAAAGTAAACGTAAAACCATTATCTATTTTCCGTATATAAATTTGTACTTATTTCTGTGATCCACGATTATTCACATTTTGTGGTCTTCCTTTACCAGTCGCTAACGCAGCCTTCGAATAATTTCTTTAGAAATAATAATCGCAAATCCGAATATTCGAAGAGTTCGGGCTTCGGATACTTTGCTGCGATCCGATTAATCAAATAATTAATTAGCTTCGATTTTTAAAATATCCGAACAATATGAACACCACTAATATATATCACATCATCCTTGATGAAGCGTTAAAATATTGTAAAGTTATCGGCCTTTGAATTTGTTTAACAGCATGACCTCACATCTCACTCGTATAAGTGCTTTGAATAAGCTAGTTCATACCACTAAACTTAGTGCTACCAACGTGAATAAAGAAATTTTTTTCAGATATTTTCAAAAATGACCTTTTAAGTTATAAATATCTAAATATCCGATATCTTTTGAATTAAATACTTTAATATAGCATCTTGATCAAAAAGTTTCAGAAATATCTTCAGAACATCGAAACTAAAATTTTATTCCTGATAATTGAAACTATCCACGTCAAAGTAATCTTTATTGACTGTAATTCACTTTTCTGTCAGTAAAATTGCAAAAGATTTGATCCAATTCTCGAAACATGTCTCATAATCGAATTTTTGCATAGCCATCAGACCCATTTGAATTTTTTTATTATATCTTCTTGCCTGCTAAAAGCACTATAGTGTGGGTGTATTATTATGGTATAAAATCCAAGTTGTTTGCTCACAAAATCAGTCTTTTGTGACAAATTGCTTCAAGCAAACGTCTTATAACGCTTAAATAATAATCAATTTAGATTGTTCAAGTTTTCGGTAAGAATTTTTGATATACTACACCGTTGTTATCCATGAAAATCGTAAGCAAAATCCTCTTTTTTGACTTGAAACAATGTGGTTTTTCTAATCTTGTCTTATCCGATGATGCCTGTGTTGACTCATGAACCAACATCTCATATCCAATAATTAATCGTTTCAAGAATATTGGATTGGATTCAGTCATTGAAATCATAAGTTTCGTAATGTCAACGCTATTTCATTTTTATATGAAGCGATAGTCCTTCGGTATCAACTTTACTAAGACACTTCTAAGGAGCAAATTTTTAAACAAAATACTTTGAACAAATCTATAAGCAATGTTTATATCTTGCGTCATTTCTTCTATGACCAATTTGCAGTTCTCGGTTTATATTTCTTTGATTTTATCGATGTTGTCGTCGAGATTTGAAGCAGATGGCCTCACAGTGCAGTGCAACTTTTTGAATTTTCAAGCTATAGTCCTAAAATACGGAGAGTAATAGTGATAGTTCTAGTGATTAGTGTTACAATCTCTGCGTTAAAGCGTCAACCGGTGGTTATTCTCATAAACGACACCTGGCGATAATTCTAGAAAGTTTTTAATTGATTTTATATAATCTTTTTTTCGTTTAAATAGTATTTTAAAGATTGATTTTAATCTATTATATTTGAGTTCATCAAATTTATTTTATTCTTATTTTTCTAATAATTAATTGTTTTAATGACCAAAAGAAATTTTTTAAAAATAATTATTTCACGGGCTAATTGGTCAGTTTGAACCAATTGGACCAATTATCCCGTGAAATAATTATTTTTCTAAATAAATTAAATTAAATTAAATGAGAAGTTATTAAATCAAAATTTTTGTTTAACGCTTAAATACAACAAAAGAAATTATTTGTGAAATAGAAAACTTCGAATATTAAAATAATATAAATAAAGAATAAACTTAACTGTTGATGCTTTTGAATTTCGAAATAAGTTTTTACAATTTAAAATAAATTTTTTTTATTTATATGTTTCATTGCGTTTCTACTTTATGTCATTTATTTTATACAAATTTTTTACCAAATTAAGCTTAAATTATAAATTATTTCATTTTGCAGCTCTTTCAATATGCCAAACAATTTCATTACATCGCAGCCCCTTACGGAAAGTTCACATTCCATGAATGCTGCACGTCAAACAAATGAATTTCGTCCATCGCAAATAATAGAATTTACAACTTCGGACGCTATGGCGCCACACACCTACCCACCCAGCTATATTGGCTTAAATTATGCTGCATCAACAGCAAATATACAAACTGCTTATGATATGAACAAACAATTCACATTTCCTAGTGAGCAGCAACAGCAACACAGACAGGAAACATTAGCTCCAGCAGCAACAGCAATAACCGCAAATACTTACAACAAATATCAAACGGACGCTCAATCCTCAGTGCCAGCAACATTACAATCGATGCCAATTTTAAGCTATCGAGACCCTTATACCAATGAGAATTATCAATACACACCAACAACACCTCGAGAAGACGATTATTATCAATATCAACAGCAGCCTCAAGAATATACTGTACACTCAACGTTGTTAGTCGGTAGCAACAAACAGAACTACGAGCAATCAAATCGTGGACCTTATCAACGTCCTGGTCTTGTGTTCGATGAACAATTAAGTCCATCTTATGACCGTCCAATTTATGCACAACAAACGACGCAGCCATATCGACAACATCCAAATCAGCTACCCATGTACACAGGTAGACCTACTCCATTGACACAACGCCCAACGCATCAATATCATAAAAAACCCGAGCAGCAGAAATTGTCTTACGATTCGCATGATTACCCACCGCCAAGTTATTATCAATACCCACAAAAGCAACAACAGCAACAGAAGCAACAAAAGCAACAACAACAACGACCAATACATTTCCAATCTCCGCAACGACAAGATAATGCAAATTATGTGCCAACGTATGCAACATCCCCGCCATCATCAACGTCGTCATCTAATTATGCAAACAACTTTGGTAATTATTTGCAGGGCGAAAACTTTGCAGGAAATTATGTGCATCCTACCCCGCCAACGTATGCAGGAACATCAGCATTTGGCGCTGTAAGACCACCAAATTCATTTAACACACAAACGTCACCTAGCAACTATTATGGCTATCAAATAGGAGAAATACCCCCACAACAACAGCCGGGTCATAATTATCCTAACTATAGACCAACAGCTCCACAACCTCACTACCAACCCTACCCTCAACAGCCACCGCAACAAACAAATGGATTGGCTTCGTTAGCCTCGCTACTTACAACAACACAACAATACGCACCGCAATTCACGAATTTGTTGCTTGGCGGCGGCGGAGGCTCAACATCAGCAGGAAATCCACTGGGTTCACTCATAGGCGCCTTTACTGGTGCACCCGCAAATAGTTTTGCTGGAGGTGGCGGCAGTGGCTTAGCCACACGACCGCTTAACACGCAACTGATTAGAGCTCTTGAGAATATTGCACGCAATGATGATTTGCAGTGTGTGCCGAAGGTATTGTGCCAAATGATTGCCGGCCAAACGCAACGTGGACAATTGCCCAGTTTTGTTACATCTCCAGCAATCACAAAGTATGTGTAAGCAATAAAATTGAAGAGGATATAAAATGAAATGCAAGGGCTTTACTGGGTTATATCTATACGATTAGAATTTCATGATTAAAATTTAAAAAAGTTCAATTTAAATTTTTAAAAATATTTTGCAAAGAAATTCGCCCTATATAATTCTACTGAACTATCCTATTTTGAGTTCTAGAAAAATTCTCAATAATTATAAAATTATTATTTATATCACTTATTTTATATATTAATTATTTTATTTAAAATATATCCAAAAAAAAGAAATATTAATTTAATTCTCCGTATTTTACAGTTTCCTTGCCGGATTTCCTGCCTTCTCTCCAGCGCTTATCTATGGACGTGCGGCATTACTTGGCATAAGTGGCGGCGATAAGAGCTGTACGCGCACTTACGAGAAATGCCCAAAAAACGAGGTGAGTTTAAAAAAATGTACCATGAAAGCGAAACAAAAAAGTAAATAAAATCGATTAAACTCTCAAATAAAGAAAAACTAAAAATCAAAAAAAAATAAAAATAAATTATTAAACAAAACTGAATGATTATTTTCTTCAATTTATTTTTAGTATGAAATTCTTCATTATCTCAACAATCATCGTGGTGGCTTTTTCAAGTTCTTTAGCGAGCCGGAAGAACAACCTACAGTCACGGACACACAAACTAGTGGTGGCAGTACAGGCGGAGGAGGTTCTCTATTTAGCATTTTATCAGCGTTAGCCGGCAATCCTATTCCAACAACAACCACGACAACACCACGGCCAAGACCAAAACCCACAATGCCTACTTTGGATATTACAAGCGGCATAGGAAACTTCTTCACACAAGTTTTGTCTGATTATTTGGGTGGTGTGGAGTATCAACGACGTCGTCGGCGTAGATCTACTGATTTTGACTTACCAGTAGACAGTTCACAGGAAGAATCTTCAGATACCGACTTTGAGGATTTTCATGATGATGAAGATGAAGAGGATACACAAAGCGGTCCCGAAAGCGAGACAGAAATTGAAACACAGTTTGATGATGCCGAAGGAAGAATTTTACATAAAGAGATTTTAGGTTTGGACCAACCGAAATTCTTTCCGGAAGTTGATAGTCATACAGAAAATAATGATATAAAAAATATTATAGAAAAATATAATAATGAAAAAGCGGAAAGAAAATTAAAATTTCCAAGTGCCACAACCGAAAGACAATATGAGAATGTGCGAAAAGAAAAAAAATTGGGTGTAGAAACTGACGAGAAAAATGAAAATGATTATGATTCTAAGAAAATTGTATTTGACGACAGTGATAAGGATCAAATAACCGAGAATACACATATTACTAAAAACTATGGACATACTCGTAATGAGCGCATAATTTTCCCTGATCAGCACAAGAGAGAAATACGTATAGGTCGCATTATAAATCGTCCATCTTATGCTGGTAATTATAATAATTATGTACGCAGTCAGGATGATAATGACAAATTCGTCATATCTAATTCACATCGTCAGCCCTATTATCAAACAAGCACTTCACACTTGACAAAAGAGTCGTATGCATCTAGCCACTCCAGCAGCAGTAGTTCCTCATATAATACAAATTCCCTTTACCACCGCTATCCTAATCATAATTATGAAAATAGTAATTATAGTTATCTTAATGATAATTATGTGACGAATAATCGTTATGGTAGTAACTATCAGGGAATCAGAACTACACGTAGCCCTTACACAGCTACAACGACTAGCAAACGTGAGGATAATAAAAATATATATATCACAAATGGACAGGGTGTGACGGAATACTTTATAACGCCTGATGGTCGTAAAGTTTATCTCTAGGCCTTTTTGTATATAAGTCAATGTGTGTAATATATAAAATGTAAACTATTAGATAGGTAAATTATTAAACTAAGGTGTTGTAGACTAAACTCCAACTGTACATAAAACCCAACTTGCAAAATGATTATTAATAAATTATTTATTTGTACTAATAAAAAAATGTGTCGAATTTTAAGTTTAAAGTATATTGAAGAATATGAGGTGCTTCACTGCTTTTATTCCCCAATAATTTGTAAAAAAATCTATGGAATATTTATTACATACTTCATTGAATTGAAATTATGCTATAGGCGTTTGTCGTTGACTTATTACTTAATATAGTGACTGCTAACTATAAGGAATAATGCATTTATTTATTTCCAAGCCCAATCAAAGAACACTTGAAATCAATATTTATCTTTCAAGTTGAACTAACTGGTTAACATTGCCCTATTAACAGTTCTATGAACAGTACAGTCTTTTCTTTCCATTTTAATTACTCCCTCCTGTCCCTCAATATGTTAATGGTTAGGAACTTAGCAAATAGAGTCCTAGTAATTTTCAATGATAATTAGTAAGATATCTTGCCACATCTTTCGATTTTAGCGTTCTAAATACTACAAATAGCATAATTATTATTTATTTATTAAAAGCGTAAACGTCAAAATTGCCCAACAGCCGGTACTGCGACCAGAAGAGTCCTATTGTACCAATTTCACTATTGATTACACAAAGCTCTTTAAAGCTTTATGAACAAAATCTAGAACTGAATCTAGAGAAGAGCTCTTAATCTGCTGGGGTGACAGAAATTCCTTATGAAACAGGTTTCTTCTGAGCGTTATTAAAACTGGACAGTCACAAAGAATGTGCATGGTCGTTTCGTTATCTTCAAGGCATAATCTGCATTCTGAGTAAACAGATAATTATAGTTTATGAAGGTGATATTTTAGACCATAATGACCTGTAATAAAACCCGTCATCAACCTTAAATTACATTTTGAGAATTTAAGAATCTCTTTGTAGGAATACGGTGTTATCAGTGCTTTGCTCTCAAATAGAATGATATTCAAAAGACAAAGTATGCTAACTTCTATTAGCGTATTGCTTTTTTAATTACGTATATCTCAGTCTGCAGGACGTTACATGCATAATGGCATAACTGCCGAATCTGTATATCTCCGTAGTTAAAACTCATTCCAGTTCTATTCTAATGTTTCAGCCACCTGTTTGGATGGTAATTTCAAAATCACATGTTATAGAACCTGATTCTTTCTCTGAATAGGTTAAAAGTAGCAATTCTGGTATTAAAATTAAGCAATAGTATCATACAGTCTGTAGTTGGATTCAGACAAGTCCTGATGAAGCTAGGACCCCGTCAGTATAGGACTGTATGAAGGCATGTTAAAACTGACGTAGACTAATAAAGTGTGAAAAAATTACACTGCAAACAATTATACGATCTATATTTCACAGAGATTCTTGTACCGTCCTATGACCTTCTGAAAAATATTAAATTTTAAATTACTTAACTTAACGCACAGTTTCAACAATCTAATTCTAGTATTAAAATTCTAACTTAATGTCCTGTAGTGTTGTCATGTGTTGATAATTCAGATAAAAACTAATTAAAGTGCAACACCTCACCATAATATCTGATATCAGTACATTAAATATTATATATTTTCATAGGTTAAATTATTAAGAGAATATGCTAAGTATAAGATTATAAATTTTGGATCCGCTTTTGAGAACTTCAATGAGCTAAGTTTAATGACTTTAAATGGTAAAGTAAGTAACATCAACAGACGTTTTTTGATATATGTTAATTACTATACATAATTATAATAGATTACAATCTATATACTTGTATATTATGTACCATATGTTATATAAATTAAGTAAATTCGTTCAATTTGACCAATTGTGTACATGAACTAATTTACGATAAACTAATATCGTAAATAAAATAGTGCTTTAATAATTATTCGTAACATACTTCGAGGATTAGTTGAATAATAGTATTGCAACTGCTTGTGGCAATTGCTATTGTATATTTGTTAAAATTGATTATGTTACTATTATTAATTAATAACTTTTGAAAGTAAATTGAATTATTGAATTTTAATTTAATATTTTCACATATCTTAATAGAGTATCTACAACTATACTAAACCAAAATTAATTATACTAAATCGTAATCATTTTTATGTAAGTCTGTCTCAACTTAAAGAGCAATATAAAATCTACTGAACGTGCGGTTTATATCTTATTCGTAGAACTGAGCCTTCACTGAACTATACAACACATAAAGCTGAACATTAAAAATAAATTTCAATTTCAACAAGAATAAGAAATAATTAAAACATTTTGAATGCTAAACAGTATATTTCTTAGTTCAAAAAATTTTTTAATGTCCGAATAATGAAGAAAATATCGGTATAAAATTATTATGTTGCGTGAACATGTCTATTGTTCAGAGACTTACATAGGATATCTGTTAAAATTAAAGAAAATCTATTATTTGAAAAACAGACTTAAAAGATATAGAAACATTATTTATATAAGTTGACAATACCACACGATGTTACCATGCGAAATTTTATTCAAAAGTTTTTTATATTTTTCATTTCGCACCATATAAATCTAAAACAAAAATTTCAAAAAGAGTTGATAGTCGAACAAAAAACATATTGACGAATGGATCAACCACTGATATGTAGTATTGGATAGGAAATCGATAGGACTTCTATCCAATAATGTCATGAAGTTGACAATATAAATTTTGATTGTTTGATCATTTCTTTAAATCCCGGCAGTTTTTATAGAAAATGTAAATAAACAGTAACTGATATTAAAAAGTATCCACAGCTTTTTTGAAAAATTTTCGAACAAAATATTTTTTTTTTTGAAATCAAATTAGTTAGGTATATATTGATTATTACAATTTTTAATTTTTTGCCATTTTTTGGATAGCTTCATAATTCCATTTGTAAAGAACTTCTGTGGTTCTATACGGAAGAAATTCGTATAATTCTGTGATATTTAGCGGCAATTTCCAAGAATTTTATACTCTTTCAAAGTTTTAATTTCATAAAGAATTCAATAATCGATAAATTTGTTAAAAAGAAATAAATTAAAAAAAATTAAATAAAATAAATTTAAAAATTAAATAAATTATTTACTCACCAAATGCATCACATATCGTTTATTCACATCAATAGCGTTTTTATTATGAATTTTTAACGCCTCTTTACTTTGAAGTCTCTGTTATTCGATCTCCAACTGGTAAAACTGTTATTGGTTGACTAATGCAATAATGTTAATTATGCCGACTCTGTTAATTGAATGTTAATGTTAACAGTTCATATAAACTTTTGTTGTATTATTTATTAAATTAAGTTAGTAGTTCCTTATTAGAAAATATGAAAATCGTACTCAGCCATAAAATTTTTATAACACAATTGAAATAATAATAAATCTAAACTTATTAAAAAAACAAATAAACCTTTTTATAGTCGTGAATAAACCACCTTTCAGCTATCACAGCAGTTTTAAACTGCATAGGAGATTAAATGAGTATAGATTAACTTTAATTATTTTGAAATAATAACGGCAACAAAAAGATAATGCATTGCATAGAACAACAGTTGATCGCAAAAAAAAGCAAAGCTCCAAAGAAAATAAATAAATAAAATAATTTATTGAGTGCTAAAATATTGAAATGTTTATTTACATTTTAGAGTTTTGATGTCAACGTAAAACGGGTTGTCTTGCGGGACTCAAAGTATCGATAATGCAATTATTGTTTACCATATATTCAACATTTCCAATTTCTTAAAAATTATTTTTGTTGAATTTTGCTAATCAAATCAATTTGCAATAAACAATAACAAAAATATACATATTTACACACATACATTAAGACTGAAAAGTTTTCGGAAATTCTCATTTAAAATTCGCGCGCTGTATATTTTTCGATATTTTAAGTTTATGTAGTTTGGCAGCACTGTCCTTAATTACTATGCCAAAAATGAGCTCGATCTGTCAGACAGTTCGTTTACGGCAGCTGTTGAAACCAGTTCACCTCAGTAGTGCGTTGCGAAATGTCTTCGACGGTCGTACGACCGTCCTGGAAGGCTTTGTACCACTCATAAACTTGAGTTTTCGATAAAACTGATTCCCCATAAGCCTTTTGTAGCATTCGCAACGATTCTGCACACGAAATTTCGTTCGAAACACAAAATTTGATGCAAACTCTTTGTTCAATATTTTTTTCCATTGTTTTTTTCGCAACGCCCTACTGAGGTGAACTGGTTTCAACAGCTGCCGTAAACGAACTGTCTGACAGATCGCGCTCATTTTTGGCATAGTAATTAAGGACAGTGCTGCCAAACTACATAAACTTAAAATATCGAAAAATATACAGCGCGCGAATTTTAAATGAGAATTTCCGAAAACTTTTCGGTCTTAATGTATGTTACTGTGTATTTTTTAAGTTGAAAACAGTTCATCACAATTTGAATTCTTATTATTATACATATGTATTTCAAAGACTCAATAGAGATAAAATTTTATGTATATTTTTTTTGGAAACTACAACATTACTGATTTATCACGCTATGTCTCAACTTACTAATAGTTTTCAGATACTATATGCATTCAAGCTCAGCATATTTACGACAGCAAAGACTGGTTGTTTATTTTAATATTTTTTTATAAAAGTCACTGATCAGTTTTATGAAGAAAAAATATTTTTCTTTGCTCAAATTATAAGTTCTTTTTGAATCGTATTAAATGCATAAAAATAATATTTGGAAAATAACTAACATTCGAATGTATCTTAAGACTGAAACTGAGAAACTCTGTTTTATATTCGAGTACAGACGTAATCAAGAAACTAAACTCGTCAGCATAACCAATTCGTTGTGTTAATAATTTTGTAATTCAAAATATACTTTTGTAATAAATACAAAAAATTTATAAATATCTGTGTGTGAATGTACGAGGGCGGTTTGATAAGTCACTGATTTTTTGAATAAAACAAATTTTTTTCAGCAAATAAACATCTCATTTTTCTACATAATCACTCTTTAGCTCGTACATTTAGTACAGCGTTTTTCTAATTTTCTTATTCCCTTCAAATAATAGGTTTTCTCAAAGCTCTCAAAATATGCGTTTGTTTCGGTAATGATTTCTTCATTCGATCCAAACTTCTTACCGCTCAGAAAATACAGATAATAGTTGCAGGGGGCTAAATCTAGAGAATATGCTGGATGGGGTAGCAGTTCGTGTCCCAATTCGTGGATTTTGGCCATTGTGACTAGACAAGTGAAAAATCACGTAAAAAAACCTCGTAAAAATTTATGAGGTTGTCTACTTTGAACGACTATCAAACACCAACTGAACGTCGTAGCTTGCTCAAAATTAAAAAGTTGCCCACTGATAGATTACAGCTGACGGTAGCACTGTTGCATTTGGAGTAACAGCGCGGGAAATTCAAAAAGTCACTGACTTATCAAACCGCCCTCGTATATTTCAGATTATAGTTCTTTTAATACAAATAATATGTTTAGTACTGAATAATGAACAACATTGCTCCACTATTGTTCCACTATAAATAGTGCTAATGCAATGATTGCAAGATTAACTGTTACAACAATCGAACTGATGAAAGAGTCAGACAACTTCGAACCTTTGGCTATGTTTATATATGATAGAATTATATATACATACATATATATGTGACAACATCTGAAAAGCATTCGTAACATTTATATGGGAAATAATTATATAGAAATATATCTGTATAGTTATATATATTTATAATTATGGTGTACAATAATTGTAAGCGCGTGCATGACTTAAGCTACTTATTAATTAATAATTAATATTTCCTATAGTTTAAATGTAGTCAACTACAACAACACAATAATTTTAAACTTCTTTTGAAGAACAAAATCTTTTAATTATCTTATTATATGTTATTAAATATTGTTACTTAATATGTATTATTAAATATTCCTTTATATTTCGTATTTATTATGAAATAACAATTACTCGTAATAAATAAAAGTGAAAAAAAATGTATATACTTGCTCTACCCTTTAAACTATTGTGAAAAGTTTATTCGCAATGGCTATAAAGCCGTAAAGGAGACATCGGAGAGTAGATATGCCACATACATACATCCTTTATAACAGTATGTACCGGTTTAGTAATATAAGCTGTTTGTTATTCTGTTTATAAGCAAATTAGTCATTTAGTTATGGATCGCTCATGGATGGATCTAGCACTTTTAGTTTCAATACTTTAGTATCTTTATTATTATTATTATGTTATGGCAACTTGCCTTAGATCTATAGAACCATAACATAAACTTCCTCTATATAGTACAATACTGAACTTGTGTTAAAGAATTTTATTTCTTTGTCCGATATGAGATTTTCACCTAGGTATTTCTTTCATTTATGCTACAGTGTCGGCAAATTCCCAGCAAGTGCTTTGAGGTTTCATTTTCATCCCTATAAAACTTTAAAAACTTTTATTGAAGGAAATTTTCAGTTCTGTAAGTCCTACAAACCTACAAGGTCTTGTCACAGTTCCTGTAATGATTTTTAAACTATTTTTAGTTATTTGCATACAATCCTTAAACCGTTCTGGGTTAAAAGTCTCTATGAGCGATTTTGATTCTGACAGGCCTAGTACATTATGTATAGCTTTATTTGTTTCTCTTCTTTTTTATGAATGGTTGATAAGAAATAACATTCTATCAAGCCACTGAATGGGTTCAGGCCTACAAGCAGCGAGGTTGTCTTTTTCCTAGCGAGTGTGTCTTTAACTTTGTTACCGGATATACTATAAATTTTAAAAGGATCTATTTTTCATTATTTTTGTGAAATATAATTATAATTTCAGAATCTTAATTCACTGGTGTCACCTAAATTAAGAGCCTTTACTAATCTCTGGCTATATGTTAATATGTATATTTTATTGTTTTGAGTCGTTCAGAACTTTCAAGGTTAAAATATACCTACCTATCTCTCGCATAAAAGTATATTAATAACTTTATGAACACTTTGGTTAGGTTAAATATTGAAGCATTTAGACTATTTGCTGTCTCATTTCATATCTTTGTATGAGTTCCTTTTAAACAATCGAACATTATTGCTATTAAAAGTACTCAAAAAGAAACGGATTATTTAAACTAGCTGGTATAAGAGTCTTTTATGACAAGTGGGCCACATCAATCTGACATTCCTGCAGACTGAAGACTGTAAGTTCACCGTGGTACTTAAATAATGAAGAAGAGATGTTGTCATGCTGTCTTATCAATAAACTATTGACATCTGATAGTATACTTTGAGGTACGGTTCACTGATTTTGAAAATTTGATTGCAACTTAACTGTTCGTATATATAAAAACCAATGATATTGTAAATTTGTACATTTATTTAAAGCATTCTTTCTTAACATTCTTAATTGGAATATAATAATTTTTAAAACTTAAACAACAACAATAACAATGAAGTGCATATAAAATAAATTTTTTTTAATCAAATAAAAGATGTTCATAAATGAAATAAATAATATTAAAATAAACATATATGCTCTTAAAATGTTTGTGTTAAATATTATCAAAATGAGGTAATGAAAATAAAGAAAAATATTAAAACTGCATTTAAAAATATAAAAAGTTTTGATAGGTAAGTTTAAAAAATAAATGACTTTATGCAGTTATAAATGGAAATTGAATAATGAAACGTGAATGTAAAGATAATGATTGATATACGAGAATGAACACAATGTTACAAAAATTCTGTTTACATGTTTATAAATTGGACCTTATAGCCTTTACGAGAACTCCAAGTGCATTAGATCATACAAATTCTGTATATGTCCACCAACAAAAATGTGCCATAAACAGACACCTAAAGGTCAGGTTATACAAGCAGTCAAATGACAAATGGTCTTGAAAGTTTTATGTTCTTTCTAGTCAAAAGCATGAAGACATGTCATGCAGACCGTTAAATTGTCCAAGAATTGTCCATTTTATATTGTAACTACTGTTTTCATACTATATGGTTGGGCCTTGATCTTAAAAGTAATAGTTTTGTGTGAATATGTGAGAGTATGTACACATTTGTTCCTGAAAGGCGTAAAGATATATTCTCTACTGCAAAATGGCTACATTTAGGTATTGTTCTCATTAAAGTTAATAACATAAAATAAGATTTATAAATTGAATGGATATAAATAAAGTAAAATATATATATATATTTATAAATATTATTTAGCACAAAGCACTTCTAAACTAAAAACCACAGATAAACAAAGGTTTCAAGAACAATCCTTACACTTGTTTGTCGCTCCCCCCATTCTCTTCAATTGTTTGCTAAATTCTCGTAAATCAGGAAAAATGAAATAATATAAATACATAAAACATAAATGACATAAATGAAAAAATCTAACAAGTTAATGAAAAAGGAAAGCAAGCGTTTAAAATACACAAGGCAAAAAATGAGCCCTTTTTTACAATAGGAAAATTGCTTTTGTCTTGCTCCAACTCCTTTATAACGCAAAGTTCTTTATAGTCCTTAACGTTTTAGCGTGGTTGTGGTGGTGGCAATGGTCCAACGCCTGGACATGGCATTCTTTTAGCCAGGTGCTTGCATAACGGAACATCGCGCACAGCATCACCAATGAAAAGAGACAGCAAATACCATTGTTTCATACCGGTTGATTGAACTTTGTAGTTTCTACAAATGAAAAAGAGAAACAAAAACAAAGAGAAAAACAAAATAAAAAATGTTAATGAAAGGAAACAACAATAAAAGCACAAACAAAGCATTAAAAATATAACAAAAACAAAAAAAAATCATAAGTTGCATTTAAAAAAAGCGGATTAAGTCGTAATAACTTATAAGTAGTAAAATACAAAATAACATAAAATTTTTACTACACACCGAAAAGCTTATGGAATGTAAAAAATATAATATTTTAATAATTCATCTGCAGTTGCACTGAAATCATGAACCTCAATGGGAATTAAGAGAAATTCATTCACGAGGGCAAAAATACTTGTTACTTGGATGAAGTATTTTCCATATTAATGCATAATCCTAGTGAATATTCATTTTAAAAGCCAAAATACTGAAATATTTTCTTTAATAAAATTTTTTTTTATTGCATTTTTTTTAAAGTTTCAACATTAGTTCAACAAACAGCATACGACCATAGTAACAAATTTTAAAAAATTACAAGTATTTCATATCAAAGAATGAATTGCACAGATATAAAAACTAATTGCAATGTAACTCAGTCGTTGCTTTCAAACTAAATGCCAAGGTTCTACGTTGAAAAGAGTTCGAGCTTTAAAAATTGATAATTCAATAAAATTGCCACTGCAAAATGTATTCTGAATAGCAATAACAACAAAATAGACTTAAAATCATTAGTAAATTTTTAATTCAACAGCTAAAATGATCCGGTTTAATAGAGCAAATTAAGTTGTGTGTTTTCATTTACTTTAAAAAATTAGTTATAAAAAGCTATTATGTGTACCAGCATTAATGCTTCCCAACCCATTTTATGCTAGATGGTGAGTTCACACGCCAAAATATCAAGGAGTTCTTAATTGCATAGCAAAGAGAGTCGGATTTGCTTAAAAAAATTTAAGTAATAAAATTTACAATGGCTTAACATTAGCAGTACAATTAAGTAATCTATATTGTAGATTTTTGTTTACTTCAGAAAAGTAACTATAGCAAAAGACTTTATTTATCAAAAATCTATCTTGTGCTAAATCCTGTGTTTACTCGGATTAGGTCAATTATTTACCAGAGTAATCATTTCCAGAGTTTTATGAGTTCACACATCAAACAGTATAATCCAAAGAACGCCTTGATTTACAACTATAGATCAAACAGTATACATCACTATACTCTAAAAAGGAAATGGCAGTCGAATAATGGAATTCAACAGGTACTTCCAACATCGTACTACAACAATGTCATTCCAACAGTTAGATAGGGAATGCTTTACTTTTTTTTCAATGGAGTGCGAATACATATAACATAAGTTCTGTTGTTACTGTTAATTAATCAATATTCCGAAAAATATAGTCCAATAATAGGACAATATTTAACGATACTTTCAGACTTCTTATATGATAAAATTAAACAAAAAGTTCGCATTCCGCGAAAGAAATATATTGGTTGCGCTACGACAATATACTAGTCTAGACATTAGCAGTTACTTCTACAGAAATAATCGGTGTTAGCACATCTATGGTATCGACCTGATTAAGCCTTTTCTGATTTTTTATCACCATTTATAAAACTGGTTTTGTTGAGAAGAAATTTCAATTGAATGCAGATATTATCTTAACATCTAATAAATGAGAACGCAAGAGTTATATTTTCAGAGTGTAAAAAATACGGTGTAATGAATTGGTAAGTTATTAGACAAAGCTTCAAAAGTTGAAGTTTTAAGCACAAAGAAAGAAGTATACATGATATGGTTATGAGGCTGTCCCTGTCCCAGCTCCAGACGCTGTACTTTTGAACACAAAGAAAAACGTATGCAGATTGAAGTCAAAAGTGATTATTTCGAAAAATTAATGTAAAAGATAGCAAAGATTCAATGTCATACAACCAAACTCGCTTAAACAATAGTCCTGGTCTATACTTAAATCTTGTTTCATTTCTTAAACTCTACTAAATGTATTATGATCTATTGTACTAAACTTTAAATAATAATCTTCTTTGGCAATTGTGCAGATTGGCTTTAAAAATTAAATTATCATATCATTATCAAATTATCATTTGAAACCATTTAATTAAATATTTAATGAGATGTTTGGTTATTAGATTAGTATAATATAGATATAGATGTTCCTTCCATATAAAAGCTGCATTCGTCGATTTATGACAGTTTTAACCGCAGAACTAACATGCTTCTTAAAAGCAATTGTTTATATCTGATAATTGAAGTGTAACAGATCTATCACTTCAATTCTTGTTATTAAATCCAATTGTTTAGCAGGTATATGCTCCTCTTCTCTAAGTACTTAAAGAAAGAAAAGCTTAGTGAAGGGATCCTTTCCTGTTAGATCAATTTACTGGTATAGTTCAGTGTAACTTAGTTTTTAAAGTGACTTTTGTTGACGTTCAATTTTTTAAATGATACAGTGTCTACTTTGATGAATCTTTGGATAGATCGTATATGCTTTCATTTTCTCACTTACTTATGTCGCCATAACAACTCGTTACTGGGTTTCGGCCTAACGTAGCATGTCTCTTCAGTGCTTGAGTGCAGTGCAGTGGTGCGTTAGTGCTCTCTCAACTTGATCACTCTACCGGAGATAGAGTCTATTTCTACGTCTTCTTCGTTCAACTACTGCTTCAAATACCTTTCGCGCTGGAGCAGATTCATCCATTCTCAAGATGTTGATTCGCAGAATTATATTATTGTCGTGATAAAGCTCATCGCCAACTTTCTTACTAGCAACAAAGTTTGCCAAAGTTGCTAAAAACTTGTAATAAAAATTTCTGTTGCAGGTTTTTGGATTACAAGTTTCCATTCCAATATATTAAACTTGACATAAACCTGTTTGTGTAGTGTCCAATTAAGAGTTAAAGAACTTGGAGTGATTAAAATAACTCCAACTTTTAATTAATTTTGAGTTTTATAATAACTAAATTTTTAAAATAATTTTCTTATTTAAAACTTTTTCAAAATGTGGATTTATTTTGATTGTTGGCTTTCAAACCGATTCCAGTAAAAGACGACTGCCTGCACTTACTACAAATGAACTCAATGTAATCTAACTTAATTTGAAATTGAATTATATTTTGGGGACAAATTTAATCAAAAACTTTAATCATATTTTATTTGAAAACAAAAAGTAACAAAATTACTCAACTTTCGCACACAAAATATCACAAAATATTATATTTCGTACCTTTCACAACTTACTTGACTCTTTTGACCATATAAAGTGGCAAACTCATGTGTAAAGTACACGACATTTGCATCTCAACAGAAATGAACAAAAATAAATTTCTAAAATAATTTTGTGCATTTGCATATGACACATTTGAAGTACCTGGAAATAAAATTTAATAATAGAAATTTAAGAAGAAAACATTTCTAATATTGTAGAAAGTAATAGAAAGGACTTTAATGAAAACCAAACTGCATCTTTTTAAAAACATATAAATTTTTAGTTATTTTATTTTTTATTGTCTTCTTCTGAAATAAAATGAATACTAAAAATATTTAACAAGTACTTAAATATTATAAAATAAAATAAAATAAAATAAAATAAAATAAAATATAATAAAATAAAATAAAATAAAAATTAAATCTTAATACTCAAGTGCTATCTAAGCTTCATTGGATACGTATAAAAAGCTACAAGTCATAATAGTTTTTTTTATAAATCCTATAGAAGATTTCTACACAAATAAGATACTCAGTCAGACTAATCTTCAATTATTTATATTTTAAAAATATAACATTTCATAACGTATATAGTAATATTGAATTTTTTGAGAAGTTACAAAGTTTCCACTCCAAGTGGTTGGATTGAATTGCAGTGAAAAGCAAAATTGAACTCATTCCCAAAGTATCTTGAACACACCTTTTCCATAAAGTCAAGCTTTTATGTTTTGAAAATATTAATTTTGTTTATGACAGAAACTACAGGATTCTATTGTTTCACAGTATGAAATCAACATTTTGAAGTAATGTATTTACAAAAGTGAAATTGGACTTTTCAGACATTTTCAACTTAAATTAAATATCAAAGTTTGTAAAAGTTGAATTATATATAATACCAACAATATGTACGAAATATATATAAAATATATATAAATATTTATAAATATATATAATATATATAAATATATTTATATAAATATCTTGTATGTGTCATTATCTATAATTAATTTGGTATATAACAGTATATAAAATTTTAATTGTACTATTAAAATTAATTCTTTATATTTTGCTACTGTTCCTTTTTTAATAGAGCTGTTCATGCTCTTTCTTTGGTAAACCTAGGGCAGTGGTAAAAAAAAATTACAATTCCTGACCTTCAACAAAAAACTACACGGCAGTATTTCTAATTATTCTCTTTTCATAGAACAATGACTATTTGCAAGAATCCGTATAATTTTTTCTGAAATCATATATACGATTATTTGCTAAGTAATTAATCTTAAAAAAGACATAATTCTTTTTGGACTGCTTAGATATGGTAAATTATTCTTATAAATTTAATTAATAATTTCGATAATCTTATAAAATTTTGCTTTAAGTATCGAACTAAAAGAGAAAGGGTATATTACTCACACTTATATTTCAAATTTGTTATAAACTACTATTACTATTGATTACTAATCAACAGTAACAGTAGTTTATAACAAATTATAAGAATTAAATTTCAAAGAATAAAGAATTAAATAAAAAATTAAGATTTAAAAATTACAAGTTAATTAAGAATTGAAGAATACAATCTGCATACTATCATCTATATATATTGGTTGTATTATATTACGTATACATATTGGTCCATGATCTCCCTCCTGACGTCTCTAGTCCAGATACCCTCCCAATAGACCTTGTTCTAGCTTTACGCTTTAAACCTCCTCAGTACCTATCCTATTATTTCGACGAAGACCTCTCTTTATTCCCCTTTACAACCGCGGCTTTCGTGACCCCGGTCACAAAGTTTATCACTGACCCCACCCCC